CCAGGAGGCACCAGTTGCTAAGCTGGAGGGATTCGGGGGGTCCCCCCAGCGCACGATCCAGTGGACAGGGAAGTAGACTAGAAGTGCTTCTGGTCCACTTCTGGGTCTGCTGCCAAGTGTGCTGGGGACCCCTGTGCACTCCTGTGGGACACGCCATGTTTCCCAGCATCACCAGCAATCACAAGCCCCTGCTATAGAAAAAATATTTGAAGCTGTTTCTATGTCCAAATCTCTGAATCTTTCTGAATCTCTCTGAATTGATTTGGAGGGCTCTGATTTGATTCAGAGAGATTAAAGGGTTTTCTGATTTGATTTGGATACGGAGATTTGGCCACTGAATCGGGCTGAATTTCTGCCAGATTGAATCAGGGACCGAAGCTTCACACAGCCCTATGAGTCAGTCCCTATGGTGGCCTCTTCCCCACTAGGAAGATCTGCCAGGTAGGGGCAGAAGAGTAGGAAGGCCTATGTTGACAGTGGGACAGGATGGAGATGGACACCAGGGAGTGCAACATTGTCCCTGTATCTTTCCCAATGTGTGGAAAAGGTAACACAACTCATTGTTGCTTCACACTCCCTGCAGATCTCTTCTATTCTGGAGATCTACCCCTTTGAGAGGTGAAAGCTGCCATAGCCATCTTTGGGTCTTTATTCTCTCTCCTGCACCTCACGGCCCAGGATGGGTCCTCACTCCTGCCTATGTAAGTGCAAAGAAGGATGTTTATAAACCACTGCTTTTGTGACCAGGAACTTCATGGAGGAGCAGTGGAAATTTTCTATGAGACTGCAAGAGATGTGCCGGAGCTGCCTTTTGGAGTGACAGCCACTGAAGAGGTGTTTGCTAGCTATGGCATCCGAAAGGACACTGCTGTTGTATTCAAAAAGGTAGGAGTCGCACATAATGGGCTGGGATACAACAGGTTGTGATAGGAGCCCATGGATGAGCTGGAGGCAATGAGGTAGCATATAAAGTAGAAGAAGTCTCCAACAGGAATTTTTATAGTAAGAGACTGTTTTAGATAAAATACATGTCAGACAAGATAAAGTACTTTGTCATGAAGGTCCAGCATGGGGGCATAATATGCTGAGGGGCTGCTGTGTAGAGATCTTGAGTTTCTTAGTCACATTCTGACTGCTGGTTACACTGGAATTTGCAGCTATTATAAATACCAAGTTTATAGTTTCTGATGTGTTAAAGGAATTGCCCTTTAGAGTAGTTGCAATCCTGGAGGCATAGTAGAGTCTTAACAGAGTACTTTTTACACGGCAATCAGGATTTGGTTAAGTAATGAAAACAACATGAATTAAAGGGATAAACATACTGGTCTGTGCATACAATAATTAGGGGTATATTTGTCTTTTCGGTTGTTTTTTTTTACATATATGGTATTATTAGAATAGTAGGAAGACCAGGTCACTAAATCATTGGATGCAGGGGTGGCAGTGGATATAGTTTTCCTAGACTTCAGGAAGGCTTTTGATACTGTCTCTCACCCCATTCTCATTAGGAAGCTGGGGGACTGTGGCGTAGACACCCATACAGTCCAATGGGTCGCCAACTGGTTAGAGAGT